TAGCATTTTCTCTGTCTGAAGACCTTTGACTTCCAAAAGAGATGGGGACAGTCGAAATTCAGACGTGCTGCTCTGAGCTTTTCCCCCGTGGACAGCGCCAGCCGTTAGTCCTTGTGTGTGTAGACTAAGGTCGTGTTGCGTTAAGTAACGCCTTTACCAGCCTTTGCCTCCCGTTTCTATTTTCCAGCTCCATGTCTCTGTCAGCTATAGCAGAGCAGGTGGTGGAAGAGAGGCCGCCCAGCCCTTGCCATGATGGGAAACCACAGCCATTTCTGTGTGAGAGGGGGAATGTGTAGAGGAGAAATAACCTTTTGATAAAGAACCAAACGGTCTCCTTAGAACAGCCACTGTTGCCCAGTCATGGTCATCAAGTCTCTTTACCTTTTTTTTTTTTTTTGTATTTTGGAGTCAACTCTGCACAAAGATGATCCTTCCCTCTTTTTTTTTTTTTTTTCTTTATTCTTCACAGAAGATTCAGCAGTCTTTTGTTTGGAGCACAAAATAAAGTTGTTCTGCAAAACAAAGTCTTTCGTGAAAAAATTTTTGAGATGCAGCCAGAGTGCTGAGCGAGGGCCGTGGCGTTGCACGTGCAGAGTGAACAAAGCCCAGGCTGTGCTTTACTTTTTTTGGAGTTTACTTTTATGTTTCCTTTTGAATACAGTGTCTGATAAGCTTGGAATTAACACTGTTTTAGGTGAAATAGGAAACCATCTGCATGACGTCTCGTTCTGAAGAAGTTAGAAAGTTCTGCTTTGCTCTGTGTCAAGTCTTGATTTCACCTTTTCAAGCTGGGGTCTGACTTCCTTAAGCTCGTCTGAAACAAGCCACCACCGTGTTTTGGGCTGATTTCCAAAATTTCTTTGGGGTTCAATATGCCTCGTTGTTTGCTTGATCATAAAGGATGTAGTTGAATCAGATAAGCTTCTGGGGTGACGATGCTAATTGGAATTGAACTGAGAACTAACGAACAACGACAAAAGCCTCGTGAATAGAACTCACCCTGGAAATCTATAGACTTTTTCAATCCAGAAGCATATAACTCAGAGGGATCCAAGATTCAAAGTGTGACTTGAAACTCTTGGAAGTACGTACGTTTGTTAAGATCTGGGTCCAATTCAGCAACCTCCGTCAGGCAGAACTCATTGCAGCTCTCGTGTGAAGAACTTCTAGGCCATTAGCTACGTCATCAGGAAGGTGAGACAAGATGGGATCCACGGAAAATTAGGAACAGGAAAGCCCTTTAACTCAGGAGAACATTGTGGGTGTCAAACAAGAGAGCACAGAGTCACTAGAAAAATTCGACTTGGTAACAGAGAGAGGAGAGGTCAACGTCCTCTCTGTAAAAATAGTTCTGACACTCGCTGGAGTTGTCCTAGTGGGACAGGAATTTATATGCTGGGAGATCTTTACCTCGGACTGAGAATCCTTAGGATGATATAAAACTCATTTGCCGGGTGTTTTCGAATACAAACAAGAAAACTGCAATCTCAGCTTCAAATGCACAGCTGTCTCTGCCCCACATATTTTGATCTTTCTCTGGGGACTGTCGAGTATTTTTATATGTAAGCGTTTATGAAGTGCTAAATAAACGTGTCGTTATTTTGAAGAGTCTTTTGCCTGATTTTTAATCACTGGCCACGTTTCTGCCGGGCCTTCCGGTCACTTTGTTCTCAATTTTCCAGGGTGTGTAGTTTCAGGACTTTAAAGCCATGTCAGATGACTGGAATTGAGGCAGAAGCAAATGGTATTTTCAATGCAAGCTGTAGATAGGAGGTTGATTTTTAAGTACAAATGTTATTATTTTTAAAATGATTTCATTATTGGAAACGAGGGCAAGGAGCAAATATAATCATTTTGCATAAATGAATTGTTAATGAAAGATTCTGGAGTATTGGAAAGTACAGGACATGGTATTTGAAGTTTAGAACTGTCTTGTTGAAATTTAAAAACAAACAGTAGATTGTTTGATGATTTACTCTATTGGATTCCTTCTTAATTATGAAGTAATATTTAGGTGAATCGGTAATAAAATGGAGGTGTTAAAGAAAAATATTCATCCTCCTCCCCCTTGAGTAGCGTCCTGGAAGGTAATCAGTATTCTTCATCTGTTTTACACACATACTCTCTCGGATATTAGGTCTGCTTTCTTTATTTAGTCTGATGTGAGGAGTGGGTCGTCTTCTTCCAGATGGACAGCCAGTCACGCCAGCACTGTGTATTATATTACCACACCATCCTTTGCCCGCAGAACCGAAATCCCACCTTGACGTCGTTCGTTTCATCCGTTTTCAGAGAGACTTTCCCAGTATGCCCTTGTTCTTTTTTCTCTGGAGCCGATTCTGCTTTAAACTGTCTTCTTGGGATTATTAGATTTTGCTAATATAATTTTTTACACTCGGCCTTTCATCTTCAAGTGTCATCTTTCATATACTTTCTTGAATTTTATTATATTCTGAAGGCAGATGCTTTTAAGTGTCTAAATCTGTTTCCTGTTCTGTATTTACAAATGTCTGTTCTCCTTTGAGTGCGGTGATTTTTTTCAGTTTATACTGTGAAATCTATTCACAGGTCAGGGCCTGTTTTTTCCCATCACTTATTCTTGCTTCAGTGGATAAAAGTGTATCAGGGGGCTTCCCTGGTGGCGCAGTGGTTGGGAGTCCGCCTGCCGATGCAGGGGACACGGGTTCGTGCCCCGCTCCGGGAGGATCCCACATGCCGCGGAGCGGCTGGGCCCGTGAGCCATGGCCGCTGAGCCTGCGCGTCCGGAGCCTGTGCTCCGCAGCGGGAGAGGCCACAACAGTGAGAGGCCCGCGTACTGCAAAAAAAAAAAAAAAAAAGTGTATCAGGGCCTGTCACTCGCCCAGGACCAGTGTCTGGATTCTGCCTCCATCTGTGCTCACGCTGCCTGACTACTCTAGAAATCTTCTCGTATCTTAAACTTGAAGGAAGCCTCTTTAGGGGAAATTTCCGTTGCACGTTGGAGACACAGACAGGGCAAGGAGGAGTGCAGAGGAAGAGGTGCCAGCAGGGGGAAATTCACCCGTGTCCGGTTTCTTCTCTGTTTGGTAGAGGTGGCATGTAGGAGCTGGTTTTGGGGGTCTATTTTGCTTGGCCATTGTCCATTTCAGGCGTGTCCTGTGGCCTTTCCCAATCTGCCCCTTTTTACTACTGTCCTTTGTGCCGGGAATGAGCCACCCTGGCCTCCTTGGACAGGCGTGTCTTTCTTTGTGTCACTGATCCTTTGCAGGAGGGGTGCTCTGCCTGTCCCCCAGGTGTTGCTTCCAGCCCTGGCCGCCCTCCAGGACCCGGTGCCTCAGTGGGGTTTCCCACATCTTCAATCTCTTTGCAAGGGAATTGGGGTAAACCGGTAGTAATTTTCTTGTCAGTTTCCCCCACTTATTCTCTGCGTCACAGAAATTCTTCAGAGTCTGAGGCACGGACATGCTATCTTTCTGTGGTTTCTGGTGCCGATGCAGGATTTTTACGATGTATTCCTGTGTCTCTTGCTATTGGGATTTGGAGGGTAAGAGGCTTGTGTTCAAAATGCTGTCTTACGCTGTTTGTTTTTATTGTCATAGACATACTTACACTGAGATTCCGAGGACCCTGACACCTAAGACAGAATGCTTAACTGATTTCTGTCTCGCTGTGGACCTGCAGACTTCTTTTAGGTTTGTGTTGTGCATAATAAGAAGAAACACTTTGGGAAGGTTTCCTTCCACGTCAGGATACAGAACGAGCAAAGGCACGGAGGATGGAAGAGGAAGAGAGCATTAGGCGGCCGGGGTTTGGTCCGGAAGCCAGTGGGTGGAGGGGAGTCACGGGCCGTCGGTCTGTGCGGCCCCAGGAAGGGCCTGGGTGGGCTCCATTCAGTTGTTCAGGAAAGAGCTGTCCCGAGCATGAGATTGATGTTCCCCGTCTTCTTTACAAAAACTAGTCTCCCGATGGTGGAGGCAGCAGTGGTGTAATGCGACGTTTCCCAAACGTAGTTAACCCTTGAATACCTTAAAACTAATTGCAAGCAATAACTCGCATGTCCTTGGATCAAAACCAACAGCAATGCCGAGCTGTGCCCTGTGTGATGACTTAAGAGCCGTAGAAAACCAACACTATTTGAAGATTCTGTTCTGTAACCAAACAAGGGAAGCCGTGCATTAGAGGCATTAGACAACATTTAATAAGTAAGGGGTAAGTACAGACATAGGCGCATGTACATGTTTAAATACCAATTAGAGGTACAGAAGGTAGGCAGCAGTCAGTGAGCAGGGGACGTGGTCCACGGGCAGGACACACCCCCATCTCCTGTGTTGGTGCCTCGGGTGACCTCACATACAACTGACTATCTGTCGTTCTCAGAGATGGGTTGCCACCTCGTAAGATCAGATTACCCTGTAAAAATAAGAGCAAGGAAGGAAATACTAGTAGCATTTTTCTTAAATATACATTAAACAAATTTGGAGAAGTCCCATCAGCATTATTACTTTTTTTTTTTAAGAGCCCTTTGTGCCTTTCACAGGACACCCACGCGTCATAGAAAAACCTGAGAAAGGCATGTCAAACAGCTGGGTTTTCACCCCAGATTCACCACATACAAGCCTTATGACCTTCATCAAGTGTTTCATCTAAAATGAAGGATTGTAACTTATGGAGTTTTTGCGGAAAAGTATATTAGATAATGTTTTTAAGACCCATGGTACTGGCCGTGGAGTTACATATCAGACACAGATTTTTTTGTGGAAATTATTCATTGTCACCAGAGTTGTACATGCTGGGAGCCAACGGGAGACATGCCTCGTTTCTGTGGTTGCTTAAACGTGGTCGCTAAACGACACAGCTGTCTGACCTGCCCCTGAGAAGCAGAGTGCGCAAAGCACAGGAAGAGCAGCTGCAGGAGGCTTTTGTGTGCGGTTTTATTTACAGCACCGTGCAAGCTGTCGTTTTGGGCGACTCAAGGGATTTCCAAGGCTCCGTTGGCTGTACGTATGATTTTTACTTTACAGATAAACCCGAGAGCCACTTGTGTGTCTTAGGAGGCCGTGGCTGACCGTGAGCAGTGTTTAACCCGCAGTGGGCCCTTGGAGTGTTTCCTTTACTTAGTGAATTGGCTAGTGTACACCTGGTTGTATGCTTGAGTATTTCTTAGTATTCCTTATAGAATACAGAGTCTTTATTCTTCCGCAGAACAGAGGGAATGTCGTATACTCGGTGTATCGCTGGGGTTGTTGCTGGTCGATCCCAACAGTCTGAAGCCAGGTGGTGTCCCTGCTCACGGTTACAGCGCTGATGGGACCAACAGTGTCCTATGCGTCTTCTCCCTACACACACACACACCCCTATGCTTTTTCTCCCTAGACACACGCACACACACACACACACACACATCACTGTTATGTAACGTGGTAGGTCTTTAGTCCAGTAGCTTCGTTAACCTACTTAAACAACTGGCTGGGTTTTCTCACACTCATTCTTGCTGTCCTAGCCCAGCAGACTAGCATTGCTAGTGTGGAATGCTGCCCTTGATACCTGAAAGCAGGGGGGCTGGGATTGCTTCTTGCATCCTTGCTACTTTCTTATGGTGTCGAAATGAGTCCTTTGTATCATTTGATGTTGTGAGTCACAGAGAAACTTAGGTAATCAAAGGGAGCACCTCAGCGGAATGTAATTTTATTCTTATTAAATTATCAAGGAGTGAAATAAAAGTGGATTTTTAAAAACAGTCTTCCTTTGAGGGGTGCTCTAAATCCTCCAGGCCAGGTGGCAGGGTGGGTACATGGATGGGTAAGAAGGTGCCCTCTGTATCACCTTCCTCAGAATGGCTGGGACAGAAATGAGAGGTTTTTTCCGCTGCTCGTGCCTAACCTGATTTCGCTCTCTCTCTTCCTACTTAGCATCTGATTTTATGCTGTGTGACACAACAAGGAAAATAACAAGAACCAACCCCATTCGATTAAACAAACAAACAAACTCTTACCAATTTCTGAAATACCTGATATTTCGTTCCAGAAAAAGTCATCAATTTACTGATTTTTTTTTTCACTTGAAAGAAGGGACTGTGGAGACAAGAGTGTAGGGCAGTGTGACTTAAGTGTTTTAAGTTCTGTTTCACTTAAATTTATTCTCCTCACGTTGATTACAGAGCAACAGGAGAAAGCTTTGAGGATTAAGGACAAGTAAATTCAACCGCAGAAGCTAACAAGTAGCTAGGTTCCTTTCAAAAAGATCAATAAATGAATATTTTAAACTTCCACTGACCTTGCCGGAAGTATTCTGTTTGAGCCATATTCTCATAAATTAGTCGTCTTTTTGCGAAACAGCTGTGGCAATTTGACACAATAGAAAGAGCAGTGATTTAGGAATGGGAAGTTGGGAGGTGTTGTCTTGGCACATTCACAGGGAGATTAAATGACACGCTAACGTCCCCTGGATGAGGAAGCCATGCATGGGAGGATTGACGCAGGTGGTCTGTCTTTAAAAGGCTCTTCTATGAGTCTGTGCTGCAGTCTGGAAACCACAGAGAGAACTCACCAGGAAAGTGGGAGAGCAGAGAAGCCTCACCTCATGCAGAGCTGCAGTGTTGCTCTAGAGTACGATTACCATTCTCTTGGGGGGCAAACACACACGAGTCAGGATTCTCTTGTACCTAAGAGATGGCAGCCTCGTGGGTTTAAGCAGGAAGGTACTAAAGGGCTTGCAGGACTGTTGGGGGATGGGGGGGATTGCTGGAGAAACAGACTCCAGGCTGAGCTTCCAGGAACAACGCTCCAAGTTACAGCACACAGAACTGGGCTGCCAGGCCAGCTGCTGCCTCTGCCGTGAAGGGGGGCCTTAAACCAGGAAGCTGCCTGCCTGGTCGGAAAGCTGCCACCAGTTTCCAGCAGCAGGAGAACCTTGCCTCTGCTTCCGTCTGTGTCAGCGTAGTGAAGGCCCTGTGCCCGGCCTCTCCTTCCTCACTCAGGTCCTGGTGCACGTCTTGTCCAGTCTTTCTGGCGGGAGCCTAAATCCCCCATCTGAAATCCTAGCTGCAGGATGTCACCTTTCCAACCTCTGTGTGCCAGGTGGGGATTAGATTCACATCGACACACCAACCCGTTGTATCCACCACGGACAGTAAGCTAATTATTTTATGATAAATAACATTTGTCTGGGTTTTTTTTTTTTTTGCAGTTTACAGTTACATCCTTTTTATTTAGAGCTCATGTCAAGTCACTCTACATAGAAAAATGCTATCTCTGGCCATTCTGGAGAAAACATCTCTGATACAAATTAAGAGCAGTACCCACGTTATTTCCTAAAATGCAAAGCTGGTACGGAAAACAGGATTTTCAGGTTGCGATCCCCGTCCCAGATTTGTTTCTCTTCTCGACGTTGGTTGTTTCCATCTGTGTCCTGTGTCCCGTGGGGACATCCTCCACCTTTTCAATCTGGTTTTCTCTTTGCCGTGCAGACCTGTGAAGGAAGATCCGGAGCCCTCCGAGGTGGACGCTCCTGGCCGGTGGCACGGCGGCTACGTGAACAGAACTCCTCCGACAGCTTCAGAGTCTGCAACCACCGTTAAATCCCTTATCAAGTCATTTGACTTGGGGCGTCCAGGTATTTCGTCATTTTGTTTCATAAGCAAAACTCACACTCAGACCGTGGCCCCATGGATCAAGCCTGTCCTCCACCACTCTGGTCCCACGTTGGTGTGACCACGGGGCCCTTCCCAGACCATCCACGTGTAGATATGGTGCATGATGCCCTCTGGGGCTCCAGTGAGACAACAGAGAGAGTCAGCTCTCCTGTCCTCCTCTCTGCAACTCCAGTTACTGCCTCTCCACCTTCCTTTTCTGCCTCTGTGTCTGTTAAATCCAGGTCACTGCTGATCTCCTTCTTACCATCTCATGAGGATTAGCAGCGTCAGCCAGAGGCTTCGTCTCTTGGGAAATGAGGCGCTGATCTGTGTGTTCTGCTGCCTTGCTGACACCCTGGGCTCCTTTATCCTAGAACGTGCTGTTACATGCTTCTCCCCCTGGTCTTGTGTGTGGCCACGTGCTGATCTGTCGTTCCTGATCGTGGGACATTCCCAGCTTTTTCTGGCAATGTCTGCCTGACTCACAAGTCACCTTTATTCACTGTTACTGCCACATGAGAAAAATGCATCTCTATACTGTACACCCATAAATACAGTAAAGAGAAGAAACCAAATGTGCCTGTATCCGAAATGCAATATATTTCTTCCCTTGATTGCAACAGATATGCCTGTTGTATTGGAAGGCCAGGGTAACAGCTAATCCTAGGATGCTGTCTCTGCTAACATAGTTTGGGGATAAATTAGGTTAAGATTAGACTACAAAGACTGGAAGCTGTGACGGCTCAGTGACTACATTCCGTCTGTGAAGGTGGGAAAGGAATGAACAATGATGGTTTCTGCGAGAGTGTTCTGTTCTGCCTGCTGTAGGTGACTCACCACCTGTATGTTTTCTTGTTCCTCGTGTGTCCTGCATCTAAGACCAGCCCCCATTTAGTGAACTCCCCCCAACTCATTCCCCAATTCAGTACTGGTCCAGGGCAGAAGAAGGTGAGAGGGTACACGTAATACCTAATTAGCATCATGGGATACTTTTTTAGTCACCAAAAAGAGTAGCAAGTCAGGAACTATTATTTGCTGTTTTGAACTGGAGCAGCGTAGAAATGTCCCCATCTCTTTTCTTGGCAGGTGGTGCTGGGCAGGACGTTTCTGTCCATAAGGCCTCCAGGAGCCCCCTGAGCGGAATCCCCGTGAGGACCACTCCAGCTGCCGCTGTTTCTCCAATGCAGGTATTGGAGCCAACGGCGTGGGGTGGGGGGGTAGGGCTGGTGTCACGCGGTACCCAGGCAACAGAAGGGAACCGAAAACCAGTGGGTTTATTTTTTTGAGGCACATTGAACATTTTTTTAGTACGCCTAAAATAATAATAATGAAACTTTCATTAAAAATTACCTTTTGGCTCCTGAGGAAGGTCTGAGATGCTGCAAACGTCTTACAGTTTTGTTAATGCCTCTTTCTTGGTTTCCCATAAGATGACACTGTCAAAGTTTTCAGTTAAATGAAGATTGTAATTTTTATTAGAAGTGGACATTGAACTGGGTATATTTCTCAAACAATCGATTTTTTAAAATGCCCCCAGAGAGAGAGAATGTTTACAGTTTATAAATTCTTAGAGTTCACTGCATGTAACTGCATGTAAAACCTGAAGGTTTTAGAAAAGCCTCTTGGCATTTCTATGACCAGGGCCTTTGTTGTTATTAGTAGCACTCAGCATTTTGGCTCTGCTGAGCTAAGATTGATCTTGTCATCAGCAGGTTCCATTTTTGATGTTATTAGTAGTTATGGATATTGTTTGGGATCTTTTAAGCTTTAAAAAAAATTTCACTTTTTTGCCCTTGAAGGTAACTTCCACCACCTTCTGTGTAAAACCAAATAAAACAATTATTTATTTTATGATAATCATTTTTTATTTAATAAAAGTGAAAGAGGTCATGCTTCATTTTTACCTATCTTTATTGAGCTATAAACACAAGTTTGCTAGTAAATGTTTTACAACTGGCTCCTCGGGGGAAAGAGCCCCGATTTGTACTGTTTGCCAGTTTCTTGGTAAATATTCCCATTGTGGCCAGTTTCAAGCTGTTTCTACGACCTCAGTGCATATGGGGTTGAGAAGAGATGTACATTAGATAGTATTTGTACAAGACAGACACAGCAGTTATGAAAACCCCATTAGCAAAATGTAGAAAAATAATTAGGAAGCAATGAGTTTTGAGTATTTATTACTTTTGCTTTTAACATAGTCTCATTTTAATAATGGCTGTGTTGAGTAGCTTAGCCTGCACATTTCCTGAAGATTTATCAGTCGGCCCTATGAGCAGGTGCACACCAGCTGCAGCACACCACTGGCTATAATTCACATACCATGAAGTACAGACCTCTTCAATACGTAACTTGAATGTTTCCATGTGTAGCCAACACCAAGATAAAGCATGTCGGTCACCTCAGAAGGGCCTCTCATGCCACCATCCCGTCAGTGACCCCTTAGAAAGAACCGTTCTCTGACCTCTCTCACCACAGATTGGCTCTCTGTGGTCTTAGACTTTGTCACTGGATTGTTTTGCTCAACGTTGAGTCTGTGAGATTCATTCCTGTTTTTGTGGCAGTTCTTTTTTCATTGCGGTGTCATGTTCCTTTGTGTAAATATGCCATTCTACTGATGGTTTATCCATCCTACTGATGGTTGACTTTTAGATTATTTCCAATTTTTTTTTTAAATTTTATATATTTATTTTGGCTGCGTTGGATCTTTGTTGCTGCCCACGGGCTTTCTATAGTTGCGGGAGCAGCGGCTTCTCATTGCGGTGGCTTCTCTTGTTGTGGAGCACGGGCTCTAGGCACGCTGGCGCAGTAGTTGTGGCTCACGGCCTTAGTTGCTCCGCGGTATGTGGGATCCTCCCGGATCAGGGCTTGAACCCGTGTCCCCTGCACTGGCAGGCGGATTCCTAACCACTGCACCACCAGGGAAGCCCAGATTATTTCCAATTTTTAACTCGTGCTTATTTTAGTTTACAAATTTATTTTATTTTATAAATTTATTTATTTATTTATTTGTTTATTTTTGGCTGCGTTGGGTCTTCGTTGCTGCGCGCAGGCTTTCTCTAATTGCGGTGATCAGGGGCTACTCTTCTTGCGGTGCGCGGGCTTCTCACTGACGCAGCTTCTCTTGTTGTGGAGCACGGGCTCTAGGCACGCAGGCTTCAGTGGTTGTGGCACGCGGGCTCAGTAGTTGTGGTGCACGGGCTTTGTTGCTCTGTGGCATGTGGGATCTTCCCGACCCAGGGCTCGAACCCGCATCCCCTGCATTGGCAGGCGGATTTTTAACCATTGCGCCACCAGGGAAGCCCTTGTGCTTATTTTTAAAATACGTTTTTTTCCCAAAAATTTCAGGATAAAAGGGAAAAAGTGAAAAATCCCCCTTGTTCCCTAGCCCCAGAAATAGCCACTGTTTATGGCTTGTTGTGTATTCTAGATGTTTTTCTTTAACATAAAAATGTGTGGGGCTTCCCTGGTGGCACAGTGGTTGGGAGTCTGCCTGCCAATGCAGGGGACACAGGTTCGAGCCCTGGTCTGGGAGGATCCCACATGCCTTGGAGCAGTTAAGCCTGTGAGCCACAACTACTGAGCCTGCGCGTCTGGAGCCTGTGCTCCGCAATGGGAGAGGCCGTGACAGTGAGAGGCCCGCGCACCGCGATGGAGAGGGGCCCCCGCTCGCCGCAACTGGAGAAAGCCCTCGCGCAGAAACGAAGACCCAACACAGCAAAAATAAATTTATTTATTAAAAAAGAAAAAAGTGTGTGTGTGTGTGTGTATGTGTATGTGTGTGGGTGGGTGTAGTGAGGGAAAGTGTTATAAATTGGGTTACACTACATGTTATTCAGACACTGGCTCCTTTCGCTTTGTCATTGGCATGTACCCCTGAGGGCAGGGATTTTTATCCCTTTGGCTTGATGTTATATCTCTTGTCTAGAACAGTGGCTGCACATAATCATATCATAGTAGAAGCTCAATAAATGTATGTTGAATAAATGAAGGAATATATCAGATATCTTTAAATGTCAGTGTTTGGAGAAATAATTCATTCTTTTTGAAGGGTATATGATAATGCAGTGATTAACTTACCCACTCCTCTGTTGATAGGCATTTAGGTTGTTTTGGATTAAACTTATTACAAAAGTGGGACTTCCCTGGTGGCGCAGTGGTTGAGAGTCCGCCTGCCGATGCAGGGGACACGGGTTCGTGCCCCGGTCCGGGAAGATCCCACATGCCGCGGAGCGGCTGGGCCCGTGAGCCATGGCCGCTGAGCCTGCACGTCCGGAGCACAGCTCCGCAGCGGGAGAGGCCACAACGGTGAGAGGCCCGCGTACCGCAAACAAAACAAAACAAAAAAAAGCTTATTACAAAAGTGAAATTCTTTCTACAAATTTTTCCCCACTCAAGGGGCTATTTCTCTATGAATGTGTATCCCCATTCTATTGTAAGTACGTCAGTCACTCTAGCTAGTTAAGCACGAAGGAATTTAACACAGGGAAGGCTGCAGGGGAAGCTCTGATCTGCACTGAGCTTCAGCAAACGTTCCCAGAACACCCCAGAATTGGCCCATTAAAGGAACATCTGTTTCTGCCAGAATCAGGAAGTCTTCCTGGGACCACTTCTGTCAACATCTAGGTTCAGCCTTCGGGCCACGGCACAGGTGCAGCCCCTCTTAGCAGATCCTGCCCTCTAGGTTCATCCAGGTCGTAGCTAGTGACAGGATTCCTTTCTTTTTTAAGGCTAAATAGCATTCCATTGCATGCAGAGACTTCCTTTATCCATTTATCTGTTAATAAACTTTTAGGTTGTTTCCACCTCTTGGCTAATGTGAATCATGCTACAGTGAACATGGGTGTAGAGGTACCTCTTCAAGATCCCATTTTCAATTCCTTTGTGTATCTACCCAGAAGTGGGATTGCTGGATCACATGGTAGTTCTATTTTTACGTTTTTGAGGAACCTCCCTACTGTTTTCCATCCCAGCAGCACCGTTTCACATTCCTACCAGCAGTGCATGAGGGTTTTCTCCACACCCTCACCAACACTTGTTTTTTCTGTGGTGGATATTTTTTTTTTATAATGACCATCCTCACAGGTGTGAGGCGGTATCTCATTGTGGTTTTGATTTGCTTTTCCCTGATGACTGGTGATGTGGAACATCTTTTCATGTACCCGTTGGCCATTAAAAACCAGTGTTTTGGGCTTCCCTGGTGGCGCAGTGCTTGAGAGTCCGCCTGCCG